ACGCCTCAAGACTTTTGAATGCTTTAAATTGCTTATTTTCACAATAACTTGTCTCCAGGACTAAATTAGAAAGAAGGTCCGAGACTTCCATCGGGGACAGACATTCTGAGTTGAATTCAGTGCTCGCATCGAATGGCTACTGGATCGACACCAACCTCAAAAATTTTCTTAAAATACCGCTCTTGAACGTGGCTTTCTAGGTCCTCCGCTTAGTTCAAAAGCACAGGTATCCCAAGGAGAATATTCCCTTGTGATTCTGAATTTTTTTCACCGGAAATATCCACAAAAAAAAGTATTTGAAAGAGGGCACGGTAGAGATGGCGATATATTTGCATGAAATTTCACACCCATACTGGAGGACGGAATCCATCATTAGGGGTGTTGCCTTCTGTTTTCCAAACGAAAACGCTACCGTTGGAACTAAAATGCGGTTACATTTATATTGCGCAACGATCATGCGTGATATGGCACGGTTTGCGTGATCATATCCACGTTGTCACTGTTGCGTCATGCTCCCGGCCGAGTGCTACGTCAGCATTTTCACGTTGTCGCTTCTAAATGGTCGCTGTTCCGTCGCACACAAAAACATTCAAAAAATAAATAAATTTTCTTGAGCCCATAAGTTTTCGCGTCTTCTGAAAAAAGTCGCCTGTGCAGTTTTTACCAATTTAGCAACTTAAATTTTTATCCCGAATGACAATGGTTTTTTTCTTCAATACGCTCCTTGATTTATCTCAGAAATTCGCCACACTTTCGCGCTCAACTGTGTTGTAGAACTTTCATAATGAAGTTTCAGGGTTGTTTTCAGAAAAAACGTCTCAAGTGCCGTTTCTGGTATTTATTTGGTAATTTTTTGGGGGTAGATTCCTGAATTTAAGGCCTAGTTGTTAACTCGCGTACTCAACAATATGTAGATATGAGAAGCATGAGAATTTGACCCAATAAAATATCTTGTTTATCCTTAGTAAGTTGTACCTGTCGGTGGCAGGGAGGAAGGACGAGAGTTGAAGGGCTCTTAAGCGTTCTCAAATTGAGCTATTACATAAAGCAAAATCTTGAGCACAATTTTGATATAAAGCTGTTTTCCGGGTGACACTCACTACGTAATGTTCGAATTCCCGAGCATAATATATATATGACCCTATATAGGAGACCAGATTGTTCGTTGACGAACACACATTTTTTCCTTTTGTTTTTGAAAAATTGTGTTGCCTGAACTCTGCGTTCACACGGGATAAAACTGTCAGCAGGGCAGTCAAGAGTACAGTGGTGTGAAACAAAAGGATTAACTTGATGAAAAAAGGGGTCGCTCTCAAGATGTCAGGAGTTACAAATGAAAAACACCAATAAGAACTTAAAGAAATTAAAGTCCTTCATATTTATTAATCAGTGCTGAAATCAATCTCGCCTAAGTTTTCATTACGGGTCAACTGCTCAAGTCACATAAAAATTCTCCAACAGAACCAGAATCGTCCACTAAGCTGTAAGATCTACACGCCGTACTAAATACGTTCTCTTTATCAACTTGTGACTTGATCGAATGTTCGCCGGTCTTTTCTTCTTCCGAAATTGAAAATTTCCCTTGGAGCTCGAGTCTTTCATCGCAAGTGATCTTCTCCAACCTTTGCCATCTTTTGGGAGGCCACACAATGCGCGTTGCTTTTCCTTGGATTAATCCAACAGTCACCTGACGAAAATTACAACACAAGTTATCAATAGAGAAGTCCAGAAAAGGCAAACAAATTGAAAACAAGTTTTGCAGTCACTTATCGTGGTGAATGGACCAGTATTGAAGTTTTATCATTTGCCTCAAGCTGGCCCGGTTCGGCTTTAGCCCTATAATTCCAAAGAGTGACTAGTAGCTATTTTCCCCCATCAGTATCACTCCTAAAACAAACATTGAGGTCATGAGAATAAAGGAAATGATCACCAACTAAAGAAGCTATTGATTGTTAAACAAAGTCTCTTTGTCAGTACCAAAGGAAATGTATAGAGAACAGTGTGGAGAAAATGGATACTGATGTTAGGGTGTAAAGGGTGAAAGCTGGTTCAAATGGGAGCCTGTATAAACAATAACAAGGCCGGGCCCACAACATTGGGGACTATGTTCCCTACTCTTTACCAGGATGGGTGCGTGGGTTCCCTGTTGTCCCTTGCTACCAATGCGTGGGTTTCCTGTTGTCCCTTGCTACCAAAGCGTGGGTTCCCTATTGTCCCTTTCCAACCAGTGCAGAGAAGATGCTGGGGACAAAGCTAGCGGTTTATCTATTTATTTACGTCGTTATCCGAAAAGACTAGAATGTCCAATCATTTGCAGATGTCATAGCAAAGGCAGCACGTTCTTTTCAGTTATTTTAAAACCCTAAGTGTTGGTCAGCTATAGGGCTTGAACCGTCGACTTCCCGCACAGAATTCCGGCGCTCTACAACATGAGCTAACCAAGCGTGGTCACCACCAATGGATCGCGACGTTTCGATCCCATGCTGCAAGTCTCCTTCAGGCGATAAAGTCGACTGCACATGTGTCACCTCATCCCCTGAAGAAAACGAGGCGCTCCAGAGCAGATAGATAAATCGCTTAAGTTTCAATTAGACATTTGAAGTTTGAAAGCTCCAAACGAGGAAAAACACGAACTTCCACGAATTCCCGTCTCAAAGAGCTCAATAAAAATATAACACAGGTCAAATTTAAAATGGGCTTGTTGAATGAAAAGCAAAACAAGTTGAATATAGAAAGACGCGACTCTTATAATGACTTCCGCTGGGGTTTTCGAAGGGAAGAGCCACTTACAAAATCTTTCAAGATTTGCAAAATGCGACGTTCAGCGTTTCAAAGCGTCACTATGAACCAATGAAATCCTCACAGTAGCACACTGTAAAAACACAGTGGGCTCCAGGTCATGAAGCAAGTCAATAACATCATGAAAGCCCCTCTGAAACTTGAAGGATCTGTGTATAGCAAAAATAGAACAGACTACAACAACTACTGACAGTGAACAGAACTCACCGGTCCAAAAGAATTGCTGTCATGACTATGAGAGTGATTGTTACCCTCCACCCAGCAATGCCCTTTAGAAATTTTCAAAATCTCCTTTTTGTAGTTAATGCTTCTATAAAACAAAGAAACAATAATTATTGTTCAACTATGAACATCCTAACATAGTGGCAGGTCACGGCCCATAAAGGAAAATGGTAGTGTCCATGTAAAATTTAAAGATGCCAGTCAAATCACAAACTAGATAATTAGGATATCAGTGAAAGCAGGCCCTCCGTATCAAGCCTGCAGTATGCAGAGCAGGAAGATTTGAGGAAAAAAGCGAGCAGTTTGCCAGGGGGTCTGGAAAGCATCGAGGAAAAAATGAATTAACAATACATTTCCGTCGTCGATCACATTCTTCCAGGAAGAAAACCTTTTTTCCTTATTCCATATGATTATTTATGCACTTAAGATGCAAGATTTTCCAGTGGGTGACAACATATTTACCTTTTTTAATATTTTTTTACATTAGCTTACATTAAAATTTTACGGCAATTTCAGACGTTCTTGTTGATAAAAGAAATTTTGAATGACGCAACGTGTACTTGTGAAAAAAAGAAATCGCTATTTCCCTGAATCGGGGATTGAGGTGGAATCATCGATCACAGATAGCTGTTAAATTAGAAGGAATCATGGATTCTAATGTTTAAAACATGGGATCATGAATGATTACGAGATAAAGAGTTAGAATATTTTGAAAATCGAAATTATGTGGTTGATAAATCGTGAAAAAGAGAGCTTAAAAAAGTCAGAAATCACGAATCTCGAAGGTCGATTGATTTCGCTTCCA